TTTCTCTGATCAGCTGGCTAGCCTGATCACATTTTATATTTACCACCATTGGCCAGTATCACCAAGAGCCAGGATTTGCTTCTATTCTACTTCACTTAATTTACTAAAGTCCAGACTATACAGATGGCATATTAGAAGTCTAACCCTGCAGAGGAGCAATTCAGGCAGATCTTTGAAATTAAGCAATGGTACTTTCAAGCATTTTTCTTACCTCCAGTGATCACATAACAAAGTAAGCTAACTGCCAAATCATGAGGAGCATGACTTCTATGACAACAACTTGATTCTCTTCCTGCTTCTAATGATGTATAGTTTGGCTCTAATTTACTAGTGAAGTTGGAACTCTGTTTAAAGAATTTATTCTACATGGCCAATTGTGGAAAGCACTGGATTTTTTGAACTTGAAGACATTTCACTCTCACCTGAAAAGCTGAAAATATGAAAAAAACACTTTATTGCAATAAAGATACATCATTCAGGATTTGAAAACTACAATTATTCACAGTACAAAGTAGAAAGAATTTCTTGTAACGATCACTGTATATTTTACATATTTTAAATATCACCAGTTTTAAAAGTTGATATAAAGAATAGATTTGTTCTGAAGAGCAGCAAAGTCCAATAAATAATAGAATTCCATGCTCCAACCATTCTGCTTATGACAGACCACAGAAACACTAGAGCACTATATTCACCACTTTACACACAAGAATGGGAATGCTTTGAAATCTAAACATAAAAATTGTCTCTACAAAGTAGGGACATACATTAAGTATTTCAAATCAAGCCTGAGTTCAATATGTATAAAGCCGTTTTCATATACAATGTCCAAATTGGGAGATATAATGATTAGAATTGCCTGAATTCTAGCATTTCAAAGGGAAGTTAAATTTTTACACATTTCTGTACAAGTGACTTATTTGTTTAAAGTCTTGAAACCCAGGATTGGAGGTCAGAAAACCCAAAGGGTAGTCCAAGATTTAATCAGTTTCATTTCCAACAAGTCTAGTGCATTTTGAGTTCAAGGTAATTAAATTCTAATCATAACGTGTAAGAATCAATATACATTACATTAGCAAAAAGGCAGGCCAAGGTAGTATACAACAATAGCACAATCCTATGCATATACTCAGAAATAAGTCCTACCAAGTGTGGACACATCCCTGGGTGTGTATAGGACTGAAGCTTAAGTATGGTTTTGAAAACTGAATTTTTTAAAAAATCTGAACTCCAAGAACTCATCTAAATTCATAAAATATCCACAAGTAGTAAGATTTGAATGATTGTATCACCAAGAGAAAGGGCAGTAGTTTACTTCATAAAGACATATTCTACTCATGCTAGTGAGATCAGACTGATAAAGCGAGAGCATGGTCTGATACAAATAATAATTTCCATATGAAACATACCCATGGAAAACTATAAGCCAGTTGTCACAAATTTGATACTCACTGAAATAACCAAATGTAATTAAAATGTACTAATATACAAGTGATTGTATTACAGGCCTGATTTTGTATCATGAGACAACATACTTGACATAATTGAAAAAAACAAAGGCCAGATTCTCATGCTACTGAAATATTACCATGCCCAAATATTACAGATACTCATTTGCCCCCAAATTAATATGTCAAGATACCATATTATTGTTTTACAGCCACTGTTTAAAGAGATTTCAAGCTATAACTTCGATTTCTTATGCTGTTTTTATAAACTACACAATCCCATCTATAATCAGAAAGTATCCACAATGAGGAATATTTTATATTCAGTAATTTTACTAGAGAAAAATCATTAAAAAGACTGAATATGAAACATTATTTCTTTAAATGAATCCCAAGGTCCTTTGGAGGAATGCTCCCACTTGAAACACATAGATTGGTCTGCCAAACAGGTTGGTTTATGTTCTCTCCCTGCGAAAAAGCTACCCCCACCACTAAAAAACAAAGATCCAACTGTGCCTCTGGATAATTAGCCAGTAAAAACACAATGCTCATGTTCTTTCTTAGAGTTAAGGACCCACTGCAAACACTTAGCTACATTTCAACTTCTTCATCCCTGATAAAAGCAACCAGAATAAAGGCTGGGGTCTTTTCCCCCGAAAGTACCTAATATCTGGGACTTTCTGAATCCCAAAGTACCTGAAAGGAAAAAAAACCCACAAAAACAAACAAACAAACAAAAAAACCTGGGATAGAGTTGGAGCTTACTTTCATGAATTAAGATAAAAACCCCACAAAAACAAACAAACAAAAAAAACCTGGGATAGAGCTGGAGCTTACTTTCATGAATTAAGATCAAAAATGTCAGGACAATTCATGAAGTGTACACTAAATAGAAAAATATATTTGTTGTTAAGCATTTAGACTGTGCCTTCCTTTTCCTGCAACCTAAACATCTCTTAAATGCTTCCACCTGTGCTAGTGCCACTTGTAAAAGTCCCTAAAGGTGCTGACATGTTAATGTAAATTTCTAGTCCTAATGAAAAGGTGACAGTGCAGATGTCACCAACATTATCCTAGTATGTCATTAAGCTCAAGGTTTCTTTGTTCAGCTAACGGCAAAGGAAAAGGTCTTCTATTACAAAATCAGCTGTTTGCATTAACAGGTCAGAGAGATTCTGCTAAACTCTACAGGGAATCTACTCTTAGTTATGCTTGAGCCAGCTTAAATACTTCTGCCTGATCTTGACATCTCATTGAAACTGAGATGGTTGAATAAATCTCTCTGCTAGCAAAAAGTTAAATTTTCTCTTTCTTGATCTCATAAATCTGTACAGTAAATAATCTGCATTTTAAATTACTTAGTAAGAATGAATTTTACTAGAGATTTGATAGTAGTTAAGAGAACAGTTTATATGTTACATTTAAGCATTTTCTTTTCAATTATCTTTTGGATCATAGCTTCTACGCTCTTAATAGCAGCAAAACACAGACATATTATAATCAACATTCGCCGTGTATCAAGATGCTTCACAAAGGTTTATGCTGGCCAGGCATGAAGGAACTGACACCACATTTTAGCAAATTAGTATTTTACTTTTTAAAATGCCAACAAGACTCTCATTGTCTCACTTCAAGATGAAAGTTCTAAGATGTCAAGTCTCTAGTGATGTAGAACAGAATGATATTGTCAGGGGTAACTTTATATAAAACCCATCAGAGTGGGTTGCAGTGCTAGACGTCAATTGGCAACAGTAAAATGCAGAAAAACTGAGAGGGAAACTATCCCCCTTTCCCACGGCTGCCAAATAACCTCTTCTGGAGGACCTGGAAACTCTCTGGATTTGATTTTGGGGATGCTGTAGGGGTTGCAGCAAGGGGAAGAGGAGAAAAGATCCATGTCCCTGACAGACAGAAATGAAATTATTAAAATTTGAAACCACTAACAGTCATGAATACTGGGAACCACAAAGGTGACATTAATTTGCAATACATTGGAATTGTGTTTTACAGTCAAATCATCCACAATCGTGTTCTGTTACCAAAGCTTGCCTTTCATGTACTATGGAGAAATTCTGTTTTCATCTCTATTTTTTAAAAGCCTAACATTTGGAAAATTGTTATAAACCATAAATGTGAAAACTAAGTTTTGAGAAATCTGGAGAACATATGACAAACCGCATGTATACCTAGCACATTTAATAGTCATAATTTTACACACACACACACACACACAATTACGTAACTAATTAAGCATAGTTCAGTGAGTGTATACAGTACATAAATAACATAAGTGTTTTCTTTTGTAAAAAAACACAATTTTATCACTGGTCCCAGAAATACAAAATAAAAGTACTAAGGCAGCAGCTATAATACAAAGATCTTAGATACAGTTACCATTATTACTGCTTAAAACTGGAAATATAATTTAACAAAATACAACCCACATTTACAGCATAAGGCCCTTTGGTTTCTTAAGCAGCAAATGGAAACAATATAATCAGTGAAAAGCTTTGAAAAATAAAGTATTTAGGCTGTCTATTTAAAAAAAGGAAACAAATTATTTCCTTCGCAAAATAAGCTAGCTATATTCCAAGTCCTACATATGAAAAGTTCCAAAATTCCTAGGGAAGAAAAAGTTAAAGTCTAGTAAGAAATAGGTCTCAGGTCAAAGACAGAAGCTGAAAATCCCCCTCCTGCTTCTGCTGGTTGGAGATTTTTCATATGGAGTAATATTTCAAGAGGTCTCGCAAAAATTGTTCACTTCAAATCTATTAAAATGTTTATATAAGTCTTTCAGAAGACTCTGGTTTGGCCAAATTCAGCAATTGCTCACAGCAGATTGTGATTTATCACTTAATCTAAAGAAATCACTTTGGCATATGTCAATTGTAATAATATCTGAAGCCACAAGAAGTACATTGCAGAGATGGTAAACTTACTTTTGTCTCAGAAGTAAACAGTAAAGTTTTAAATAGTAATCTGAAATCTTTCCATATTATGCAGCCCAAAGTTCAGCATGAATTCTAAATTCTAAGGTAGTGTACTGTAATTCTAGGATGATCTGAAACAGACTTCCATTCATTAACTTTCATTTGCATTATTTCATGAACTAGGTGTCAGGTAGAAACCAAAGTCTAATTAAGTTACCTTACATTTTTAGACTTGACTCAGGAAACACAGTATGCCTGGTATTGTAAGGCCAAACATTTTGGCATTATTAATGGGAAGAGTGATAACATGGCCACCTTAGCAGTGTTTTAACGACAGAAGAGCTCATTTTTTATTTTAAAAGTATCACTCTCAAATATACTTTATTCTCAATTGGGAGTAGTACTTATAAGAGAAGAATTCTGTCCTGAAATCTAGTCTCAAGTTTATATATTTTTTCATTCTAATACATGCATCCAACTACAAACCATCCTATACCAAGAGGTATTTATAACTCAGTAACATAGTAAATTCAGACAATGCAAAATCAACAAGAGACCACAATTTAGTACAGACTTAAAGTCTTGTGGGTTCAATGGACCCAACCCCTTATTAACACTTACAATGTATCTACTTAAGTTTATTTGCAATTTATTTATTTTTAGAAGTACACAGTGGTATGGAGACAAATTCCTGAAGTTCTGAGGTACATGGTTTCTAATTTTTCTGGGTATTATGATTCAATCTGACCACAAAACTGTAAAATAGGGGAAAGGTGCTACTTGATGCCTAAGAAAATTAAATGCATAGGAACATAAATAGTAGCATGAAGCCATCATGGAAAGCTTTTCTTGTGTCCATTTTGCTAGATGAAGTTTCTTCTAATCAGCTTTTTACCAGACATAAAGAGATATTCAATTAGCTTTCTCACAATTAGATATTATCCAAAGATGTCTTTTAAGTCATTGCTAGCTGAGCTGCTGGTTGTCATGCTGTTTGTTGGTTGTGCAAAGTTTTGAGGATTAAAGAAAGGATTTCCCTGTAAGCCAAAGCCAGACTGTCCCATTACATTCATCTGTGTCCCCAAGGGTGAATTGTTGGTACCCTGAGGAGGTACCAACTGATTAAGCCACTGATTTGTTTTTTGTTGCGACAACTGATTCATGCTAACCTTGGGTTTTTGAGGACCAAACAAGCTGTCTAAAGCTGACATGTCAGGTGGCCTGTTTTGCTGTGATGGCTGTGAAACTGCAGCTGTAGTGTTCACAGGGTTGTAAGGTGACATGTTTGCTGTTGGCAACATGTTCATGTTGGCCAATCCAGTGACACCAGCATTACCAAAGTAATTCTGGCTTACAGTACCAACCCCAATACCAAATCCAGAAGACTGAAATCCCACATTAGCATTTAGTCCATTTCTCTTGCTGCTTTCAACTGATGATGAGAAACCCATTCCAATACCCATTGAAGAAAAGCTACTTGAAGAAGGAACTTTAGGTTTGTTGACCGACTGGCTGGTCAATGATGCCATGTTCTCTCTTAAAGTATCAGTCAAGTCCTTTGTCTGCAAAACAAAATGAATAAAAAAGAAATACGTATAGTTGTATGTATTCTCGAAGGGTTTCACGGCCACAGAGTGCTGTCCTCTGAAGATGCCGGCCACAGAGACTGGCGAAACGTTAGGAAGAGCAACTTTCAGAACATGGCCAAAGAGCCCCCCCCCAAAAAAACCCCACAACAACCAAATATAGTTGTAATTGAAATAATAATGCCATCAACAGACTGCAGTTGAAAGAAACATGGTAACAGAATAAGGCCCATTTTAGGTAGCAGGAATACCATTTTGTGTGTTCAGCCCATAGAAAAGTTCACAAGTTATGCAATTATATTTCTGTAGCAGCTACCTCAGTTAGACGTTGGGATATATACTTTTGTTTAAACAAGCATTTTCTGAAATGAGCTGCTGCTACTCCCCTCCCTTTCTTGCTGCTTTGGCTACTGCTAAGTTTTATGTCTGCATATCTAACAATATTTGCTGTAGCAGCAGTGGAAAAAAAAAGCACTGGCTCCTCAAAATCAATGGATCTTCATTCCTCTCCTATAAGGAAGAATTATCAGACTTTTCAGATCTAAGGTACACCAGCTGGTACTCAGATCAAGCAAGGGAACAAGCATAATAGTGGTCAGTCTTGAGAGCATCGTTGGCAGGAAAACTATGTCTGCAATCCTGTTCAGGTTGGAGTAATATATAGTTATGTCTATGGATGTTCACATGCAGCTCTTGTCATGTAGAAGTGCTTGGTGAATAGCATTTCCATCCTGCCACACTTTTCACTAATGCTGCACCAGTTTTCCACTGTACATGCAGAGCTATGCCATAGGATTTCAAGCAATTAGTCACAAAAAGAAAGATAGCTTACGTTTAAAACCCTTTATGTCTGTCTTGGATACATGGAGAGCTACCTTTCTCCACATGAACCTAGCTACAGACTGAGGTCTTTTGAGTCCTTGTCTGGTTGCCACTTTGGTGTTAGGTTGTAGGGACAGTAGCCAACTGAACTGTGGCAGTCCAGCTTTAAACTTTTGAACTGTGGCACCCCAGCTCTGGAAGTTTCCTTAAAGAGGTTTATCTATTGCACAGTCATAATTGCCTGAAGTGAAAATCTTTTCTATTTTCCGGACCTTTTAAAAATGTCACCTGAAATGATTTATATAGCTGCTGCTATACTTTTATTATTTCTATGTTTGTTTGTTTTTAAACATTCTGAGTTCAGCTATCAGCACTCTACGTTTTGCCAATATAGCTTCTTCAGATGCATTTACACAATAGCAAAATATGTAAAGAGTTTCACAACTATTCCAAGCTACACAGGACAGAACATATATTTTTGTGCCTTGCTGCTACAGAACCAGAGATTACTACGTAGAGTTCAGTCATGACTGCATCCATACCTGTTTGACTGGAGCAGTAACTGTGTGAGGCTGAGGTTTAAGTGGTGGTTGGTTTTTGAGTTTTTGTGCTTGTTCTTGTTCCTTTGCTAACTTTTGCTTCTCCTCCAATGTAAGTGATCCCTGCCAGACAATATATAACAGCAAGGTGGCACAGGATTCAGTTTTACAGTTTGAGTAGACTATGACTGCATTTCTTTTATATAAAATATCCATTCCAACCAATGGAATGCTTTTATCTGATTTAGAGATATAACATACACTGATTATCTCAGATCAAAGCATGCCCACTCCATTGACACTGTTGAGAGACCCTTCTCCATCATCCCTTGATTATCATCTGTTGTAAGCCAGTCCAAACCATTGCTCTTTATCAAAGCCAGAATTACCACTGATAGCAAGGGAGAAAAACTCCACTGACTTCCCCACTGAGAAGATTCCAAGTGAGATCGAGACCACTATCTGACAGAAAAAGTGACCAGATTCTTATTGCATATGCATAACTGTATGAAAAAATTGAGCAGCCTACATTTTGGCAGCAAATTCCCACTAGTAAGGGAGCTGACATTTGTATGCCTTATTATGCACTATGCCGCAATGAGGAATGCAAACATCAGTTCTTCAACTAGCGGTTATTTGCCACTGAGATTTATGCAATGTAACTTACACTGACATATGCAAATAACAGGATTCTGGCCACTGTATGCCAGACGCAGTCCTGCTCTCAGTCCTGCTCTCAGATGCTTCTGGCAATACACCACAGTTTGCTGGGACCAAGACAGTAAAAAACTCAACTAAAATTGTTGAGGGAAAAAGCAATTCCATAAAGGGTTCTCTTATGAAAATCTTTACTAGACTGAACCCAGTTGTATGGCAGATGTAGTATAGTGGCATCTTCTAGGCCTACACTTTATCTCATCTGTTTTTGAATTTGGTTGCTGGGAAATAAAAGAATTATGCTTCATGGGAGGAGTCATTTCTAAAATTATCAGAACCTGAAAAGATAATCAGGTACAAGGTGACAGAGAGTCTGCTCCTTTGTATAAAGGTGAAAAATACGCATGTGAAAAATCTGCCCCTGCAGAGACTGAAACCAATTTTACTGAAACATGTTTGATATACAGTGGTGCCTCACATAACAATGTTAATTGGTTCAAAAAAAAATCGTTATGTGAAAACATCGTTATGTGAAGTACCATTTCCCATAGGAAGGAGAAAGGTCACGGCGGATGGCCTCCACTTTGGATTTAAAAAACGCTGCAAATTGGTCAGGTGAGATGCTAGTGGGAGGCCCACTATCCAGTTCCTGGCATAGGTCGTCCATCAAAGTGATCAGGGAGATCTCTGTTCCATAATCAGGCGAGACTGAAATGTCTCATCCAGGAACCATGTTAACTTGGTGGCATGAAACAAGTTTTGGCCAGTGTGTTTGCACATGTTTCTTAAATCTACAGTGTTCTACTGACGCATATTTTCCCCCCAAAAATTAAAGTCCATGGCTGATGACATCATTAAACTTACGGGCTCAGATCTGTGTGAACAGGATTCTGTCTACTCTCTTATATACACTCTTTGTTTGCCAGAATGCATCTCAAGCCCCAGTAATATACAGATTTTAAAAGCAAGATATGTTTTGTCCCACTGTCAGTTTTAGAAAGTATGAAACAGATATTTGGACAGATAAATGTGAATGGTCTGAATTTGTTTTCTAATACAACAAATACATTTTAATGTCTCTTATTCAGGGTTTCAACAAGGAGCCAAATTGTTTTGTTTTGTTGTCTTGTTTGGTTTGGTTTTGTACTTCTCTCCTTTTTCCATCTTCCCCAGTTGTCCCCAGCTGTCAGCATTTTGCAAACACAAACAGTCCTTAAAGAGTCCTCTCTTCTAAGGATGGGTTATGTGTGCAGCTGAGTTTTCCATTTGTTATGGAGGACAGAAGTCCCGTCGGCAGGAACTTTCTCTACTTGTGTTCAGAAGTTCTTGTTTTCATTGTTGCTGCTATTGCTGCTCCAAGGTATGAATGATTCATGGCATCTAAAAGCAATGCTCATCAATTTATCACAAACAAGTAATGCACAGCCTTACAACCAAGTTCATGACTGAGATGTTCATCGCTTTCATTTCCTAACCTCAGTGCTGACGAACTCCAAGAATCTTCGGCAGCCACCGAGGCTTGGATCCGAGCCTCGGCAGTTGCCGAAGAGCCCGGCCATGCCTTCCACCCCCCTCCCCGCGGCTTGGATCCCACCCGCGGCCGACTACCCCAGGCATGGTCGGACTCCTGACAGTCCGACCATGGCTGGGGAAGCCGACCGCGGGGAAGGGGAATCCCGGCGGTGGCCTCTGAAGGACTCTTCAGAAGGGTCCTTCCGAGGCCACCGCAGGCATTTTCCCCCAGCTGAGCTGCGGGAGCGCTCCTTGGGAGGCTCCTGCCGCTCAGCTGGGGGAAAATGGTGCCTATGGGGAAAACATCGCAAAGCGATCGATTTTCCGATCGCAAAATCTGCATTGGTATGCGGATTTGTCATTAAACGGGGCACTCGTTATATGAGGCACCACTGTATCATGTTTTGAGACCTTCTTATTGAGAAGTATTATGTAAATTATTCTCAATCAAAAAGAATATATAATTCTGTCAGACTGCAGCAGAGGAAAAGGCAGGAGGCAGGGTCACTCTGTTACCTCTACTGGGAACCTCTAATTATCACCTAGCTGCATCCATCCATCGGGTTACAGCAGAGGAAGGGAAGGGAAGAAGGACACTCTATCTGCTCTATTAGAAACCAGGTTCTTCCTCTCTTCTCCTGCTGTTTTTTTTCATGACAACCTTGACGTGAAATATAATTTTAACAAATTGATCTGTCAACTGCTTTGGAAGACTTTCTGATTAAAAAGGGGTGCAGCATATTTTAAGTAAATCAACACACAATTCCACTATAATTCTTAACATAAAGTTATTAATATTTCAAACACTTATCAATATCACAACATATGAAAAATATTCATTAAATAAAGTGTTCCTTATACCTTAAGTATCCCTTCTTCAAATTAAAAAGAGAGAAAACAAAGTTGAAAATCTAGATACCAAAGCTGTGTATCTCATAATCATCAATACCAACAAGGAAGAATAAGGCTCATGTAAACCAGAACTTATTTAAATTGGGCATGATAAATAGCCTTGATTCACCTAGCTTATAGCTGCACCTTTAAGAAAACTTAAGAGATGAAAAATGTTCTTCTTTTCATTGAAACTCACCTTTCTCTGATTTGCCAGTAGTCCATTCTCCTTACAGTCAGAATGACCTGATATAATATCTGTTCCTAAATTGCTAAACACCCTGTCAATCTGTTCAAATTTAAAAAAATTGAAAAATAGTTAAAACAAATACAGGGACAATCCATATAAGTTAAACCAAGTAAGGGAATAATCCATTTAAAACAGCAACTTACCTGATTGCCTGTACTGGCTTTTGTTTCGTCAGCCATATTCATTTGATTTATATCCAAAGATCTGTAGCATAATGGTACAATTATAAGCAGGTACAGTAATTCATTTTAGCATCAACAGCATTAAAAACAACTACCAGCAATGTGAATTATGTTCTATATTTACTAAGAGAAACAAAACTATCTGACCTGATGAATTCTTGATCTAGTAATTAATATATGCATGCATTGTTGAAGTCACATGCAGAATTTTCTACCCATTTTTCTTCATGTCAATACAAAATGGCTTTCTAAATTCATTCCAGAGACTCAAGGTACAACTTCAGCCCACAAAGAACAACCAAAGCATCAAAATAACAGCAATCTGAAACTCAGAACAAGTTACTGTGCTACTCCACAGATAAAGCCATCTGATGGAGATTAGGAAGGATGTATGTGGGAAAGAAACCAACATGTCCAAGCTCTGCTGGGCTTGGACAGGCTAGGTCAGAAGGCTGGACAGACAGGTGTAATTTCTTTCCTTTTTTGGTGTATGTTGGAGGAAGGGGGAGCTGCATCTTGTGTTTCAAGTTATTCAAACTGTACACGAAAACCCACAGGATTCTGACATCCCAATGTTGATTTTAAACAATATAATTGCATCACTGAATGCACATGGTTTGCTCTAGGACATCAAATTTCATATATTAATTAATGTGGGATAATTAATAGATGAGAATTCTTCAATGTGGAAAAGCCAAGTATATCAGAAGACAGTAAAATACTGTATTACCCTATTCACTGTTAACTACAATGATGCAGACATACTTACTTTTGCTGTTCTTGCATAATATGGATTTGTTCCAGTTTAGTCTTATGCTCAGCTTCCAATCTACTTAACATCTCCTTTATGACTGAAATGAAGGAATTAAACTAAAAGAGAGATATATTTTACATCATAAGTATAGTTTTAAGAACAGCATTTTAATAGTAAATGTTGTATGAGGAGATATCAAAGTAAACGAATGGGCAAAAATGAAGCAACTAGAAAAGAAGCAATTACAGCATGATTCTTAATGTATCTACTGAAAAATCATATCCACAGAGTTCAGTGTTCCATGTAAATTGGAACCCTGATTTTCAAAGGTTCCAGACCAACATGGGAAAACTCTACAATGACATTGTCGCCCATATCTAGATGGTGATGGAAAAATCAACAGGGGTGGTGGCTACCATTCTTCCTCCTAGTACAGTGGACCCTCGACTTACGAAGGTCGCTACTTATGAAAAGCTACGAAAAGCTCCGGAGCATCGATCTACGATGAAAATTTTGAGGTACGAAAAGCTCCGGAGCATCGATCTATGAAAGGCAGGGGGAAAGGGCGGGGAATTCAAAGCCGCCCCCGCTGCCCTCTGCCTCCCATCCCAGGAGACAGAGAGCAGCAGGGACAGGAGGCAGAGGGCAGTGGGAGCAGCTTAGGAAGCCCAGGAAGCCAAAAGCTGCCCTGACCTCCGCACCTGCTAAAAATTTTGAGGTACGAAAAGCTCCGGAGCATCGATCTATGAAAGGCAGGGGGAAAGGGCGGGGAATTCAAAGCCGCCCCCGCTGCCCTCTGCCTCCCATCCCAGGAGACAGAGAGCAGCAGGGACAGGAGGCAGAGGGCAGTGGGAGCAGCTTAGGAAGCCCAGGAAGCCAAAAGCTGCCCTGACCTCCGCACCTGCTACCAGCTTTCGGCTTCCCGGGCTTCCAAACCCCCTCTGCTGCCCTCTTGTCTCCTGTCCCCGGTGCCCTCTGCCTCCTGTCCCCGCGGGGATGGGAGTCAGAGGGCAGCGGGGACAGAAGGCAGAGGACAGCAGGTGCAGCTTTGGAAGCCTTGGATTTTTTTCTTTGGTTGGAACAGATTAAATGGTTTTCAATGCATTCCTATAGAAAATTGACCCTCGATCTACAGACTTTTCGACCTGTGGCCACCGTTCCAATATGGATTAATTCCATAAGTCGACAGTCCACTGTATGTTCAGTGCACTTAGAATAGCAATGACTGAATGGCACTGTTCTCACCACTTGGATCATGAAAGCACATACCAATCAGGAAGTGAAGATGGCTATAAAGTTACAATACCTGAGTTAAAGTCATTGGAGGAGTGAAAAAATAGTGTTTTTAAAATACAGCATATTTATAGAATTCAGCAGAACCAATGAAAGAAATTGGGTCTGTCTTATTAAATCAAAACTGCAACAAACAGTAGCAATGGATTATGGTAGTAAAGCAGAATACAAAATGAAGAATATATGTGACCAAAATTTTGCATTCTTAGCCATGTGCACATTTTTGTAATTTCATTTTAAATGGAATCCACAGGATTGTAATGCACAGATTAAAACATTTATCCGCCTTGGGATAAATGTTTTAATCCTGAAGGTAGCACAATACTTTTACAGTATTTTTGCTGAAACAGACTGACATGACTACTTCTCCGAAAGCTACAACAAAGGTAGCCTACCTGATTTAGATTAAGATTGTTTTCAATGCTAAGAGGAATCAGATGTGGCAGCACCTTTCCTGCAAGTTGTTCTTTTGTGATCCCCAGCTTTTTATGACTAAATGTACATTTGTAGATACCTGTTGTAAAACATTAAGCACAATGATTTAACTACTAATAACAAGCAGTTATTAAATTACTAAACCTGTTAAATACTACTATAGTTTCAAAGGAAAAAAATACGCTAAAGACACATTTCAAAAACACACCTTTGATAAAAGATAGATATTTTTGTATTTGTCTGCGAAGAGGATGGTGAAAGAAAAGACGCCAAAGTAATTATTTCTACAACTAAAGATTCCAATGTGAACTTGAGATGGTAATACAAATTTTGACAGAGCTGACTGAACAGAAAAGTGAGCAGAAACAAATAGGACATTTAAAAAGTGATATTCATGATATTAACATAAAAATCACTGACTTTGAAACCTTTTGTCACAATAGAGTATAGATGATTGCTAGACAGAGAAAATTACATGCGGTATTGGAAACAAAAGATCATATTACCTAGAATTCCCATGAGGACTGCAGGTTCCTTAGAAGGAATTTGTTGCAAAAAAGGCAGGATATCATCAAGAACAAACCATTTATCCAAATATTCCAAAATCTTTCCCAAACAGACTAAGGAATTTACACGGACCTAATAAATACAGAAAGCAATGTTCTAAATTGAAGTTTTATTAAAAACAAACAAACAAGAAAACACTTTTAGAATTACAAGAAACACTAAGATTTTGAAAATTACCCAAAAGCAATGGGTTTACTGGAGCTGAATTTTCAATTAACTTCCCACAAATTATGATTAGGGTTAAGACTGCAATATTCATCTAAGACCACAATACCTATTCATCTAGGAGCAAGCCCTAGTGAGTTCTGTGGAATTTTCTTCTGAACAAACATGCATAAGACTGCACAGTCAACAACACATACAGCAATGACGAACTACTCTCCTGTGAAGAAATACTTCAGAAACAGCTTTTTAAACAATTATTACATGCGCAGGAAACAAAATTATTTTCAGGAGAATATGGGACCACAGCAACAAGTTTGTTTTTCTCTATGAAGCATAGTATCCTTTACATTGTTTTGTGATATCACAACATACATACATTATATAATCTATTTACTTAATCTTATTTTTCAACTACCGTATGTTTAAGTTGCCATGAGTAAAACATAAGCAAGTCTTATGTCATTAATTGTTTAAAAAGTTGGAAACAATAAAACAGCCAATCCATGAAATTAATTAATCAAGACAAAGAAAAAAATGAATCACCATGAGCAACCACAAAAGGAGAAGTATAAGGCTGGATTAATTCAGAGTTACCTTCAGGTAACTCTGAAGGTAAAGGTTACCTATGACATTTAGTCCCTGCAGGTCTTCTGACCTTGCAGCACAGAGGCTTCTGTGGTTTAACCCGCAGTGCCACCACGTCCAGAGTTACCTACATGCCACCAAAGGTTAGTGAACTTAATCTCAATTGTGTAGGTGCTTTCTAAATTGAGAAGAGTCTTCCAAAATGTTGGTGTGGCAACAGAAGAGGACATCTCTTCAATAGGCAATCATGTCTGAAAATGAGGGAATCTGGGAGTAAGGCTCAGTGGGTGATGTTAGTATATGGGAAAGTTCATACAGAAATAACGGCTAGCATCCTGTTCATTCTGGTGTAACATAAAGCAACACTGGTGTAAATGTGCCAGATGTTACATATGGCATCAAGGAATTGTGCTCTGTAATTGAACAACTGGTCACACGTCCTTAGTGTGACTAATTGCACAATGCACTTCTGGCTCAGTGCTCATGTAAGTATTGCGGGCACAAACTCGAGTTGAGTGCCTGTAGTTGTACTATATGATTTTGGCCAATAAGTTCTCCAAATATTTTATTCCTGATAGTTTATGTTTCTGCATTTCTCTGCCAACAGCAGTGAATGATATCCACTAGGAAACTAATATCATGACATACAGCATAAGAAAAGTGACACAAAGAAATTAAAAAGGGAAAACTTGATGTAGAGTATGCTATAGGTTCCAGCACCATTATTGCCACATTAGAGATAAGTATTCCTTAAATGAATGATTTCCTTCCAATAGTGAAGCAAAATCTTGGATGAACGTCATGTTTATTAAATTCACTGGGAATTTTCAAACAATCCTTAAAAACATGGCTATTTAGACATGCTTTCCCAGAGATTACATCATCATCGTGCAGAAGCTTTTTCAGCATTCATGTCACCTGTTCTGCCATCTTGACTTTTTAAATTAGTTTTGGTTATTTTGATGTCGTATTTTTTTGTATGTGGATTGGTATCTTTAATTTTGGTTTTTGTATAATTATTAAGTTTAATGTTTTTTAAAGTGTTGTTTGTGTTACCATGTTCTGAACCACCCAGAGTGGCCTTGGTAGCCAGATGGGCGGTATAGAAGTTCAATGGATGAATGAATGAATAAATGTGCAAAAAAGGGGGAAAATGGAAGAGGAAGAAGGGGGGTGAGGGAAGAAAATTCAATGAGAAGAAAAAAGTTGATATGCCATTTCAAAGATTTCTGGAACATCATTTTCAGTCAAATATTAGTTAACTTACAGCAAGAGATGATGTTTGTAAACACGCATTTTTAATTCTTGGTATCAAAGAATTTTTCATTGACGGATAATCTATAAGGTTAGCAAACGTAGGAATAATGTTTAAACAGAGTTCCTGCAAATAAAAGTATCAGTATTATTAAACATAAAACAGTATACAGATTGAGAGCAGTTGTTTTTCTAAACTAACATTCAGTTCATCACTGTCTCTATGTTCCTTCAAAGTAGTTATTGATTTGTTTCCACAAATGTTTGCTCCCACTTTCTTAGCATTTTAAGGCCTCTAGTAAAAATTAAATAATAATAATAATAATGTGAAAATATAATCATTTAAATACAGCTTGAGACCATGCATCTCTCCAGATGTTGCTGGACCATAACTCGCATTGGCTATGTTGGCTGGGGCTGTTAGACATTGTACTCCAGCAACATCTGAAGGTATCCATGCTTTTCAGTGCTGATTTTAAAACAAAATGCAGACATAGGATATCTCCAGTGTAGGACTCCCTCCTTTACTAATGATAATATTACTGTAGCAACAGGATATCTAAAAGAAGTCTATCACACAGAGGCCATGCCCTTTGGCCCTGCAAATGTTTTACACAGCATCTATGCAATACCGGGAAGAATGTGACATTTCAAGTTCTACGTGACTGACAACCAAAACTGTTACATCAGATATATTCTTGCTTTCGCTTCTAATTTCCCAACAATGGAACATAATACTCAGATCTGCACAGGCAGGAGAAGGAGATGTAAAAGCAAAGTGTGCTGGTTTGCTTTAAAAGGAATTTGCAAGGAAAGTATTTGACTTTAAAATATAGGTACAGGACCTGACATAAACACAGGTATTACAAATCTGATTCCATATGTAAACCGCAAGGGAAGGTGACTATTCTTAAAATAGTTGTTGAAATTTAAGGGTTGTAAGTTTGATTTTCTCTTCCTCATAATCTGTTTGAATAGTTTTGTTGCATGTTGCTTTGTGCAGGCTTGCCTTAATACTGGGGTAGACATAAATTAATTAAAATTTCTTAAATTAAGGAAAATCTAAGAAAATATGTTCCTTTCAAACATGTAAAACCTTCTCTAGCTGTACTAGAGGGGAACAAAACAAAACGCTTCAAGACCTGTATCTGAATTGAAGGTGCTTCCAAGGCTCTGTAAACCATTGGTAAAACACTATTCTTTATTTCATCAGGAGGTGTTTTGGTCAGCAGCAAGTCCATTTTTTGAAGAAATATCAACAGAATCTGTACAAGAAATAAAATATGTATATGTATTATACGATTTTGATTTGTTAATTTTTTTTCAAGGTAACATTTGCTATTAAATTTGGAGCTTAAATATTAAAGTAAACATAGCAAATGCATCACTCACCATGTTGCTAGCCTGTAAGCATGAAAAACAAGAACATCCTGATATTATCCTCTGTTCTAACATTCAGATTGCAGATGTTTACTAAAGGATTACTAACACAATGAAGTACTATCTATATAACTTGCACTCTGTTACTGACAAACAACAACTCTGCCTTTCCAGCAAATGCCCAACTGGCACATAATCTATTCAACTGAACCATATTTAAACATATCTGAAATATGTGGATGGCTGGAAATTTTAGGCAGGATATACGTTATGAAGACACTAATTGCTTAAGCTTTTTTACTTCAAAATGTGACTGTGCTCCAGAAGTTACACTGCACGTGTAAGACCAGAAAAGAAGAAATATTTAAGATGGCACAAGGACAGCTAACATCAATCTTAGGATCACAGAAAACTAGGTAACTTACACTAGGGGACCTCAGACCAAACTGTAACCCTATCCTTAAGGATTTTTGTGAGAATAAAAGTGGAAAGGGAGAATCACATGAGCCCTTAAAAAATACTCAGTCCTTCTAAGAATACTTGTCCAAGTGACTAACAATATAAAAGATAATGGCCAATATCCTATTGGGGATTTCTTGAACAGGATACAGTTACTGTATTTGGCTATCTATTGCATGACTGGTTGCACAACCAGTTGTGCAGCCAGTCATGGAACAGATACCTTGTAAAATAAGAGTCCTGCTTGTCCAAAATTAGTTAGTTGCATGTAAGAAAATCCCAAACAAGGTTCTGGCCAGTATAAAATTACAACTTACATGAACAGGACACAAAGCCCTCCTACAAAGTCCTTCTCACTATGCCATGGAGATGGCTCAGATATTTCTGAATACTATGCCAGCAAGTGCAAGTTGCTAGCAACACATCAAGGTGCAGTTTTCTAAGAGACTGTTCCAGTTTCTGCAAACCGCAACTCAGAAAGCCCTAGCTTTAGTGCCCACCTGCTGTATCTCCAACAGCAAGGAGAAAGGCCCTCTGAAGTGGTCTGTCATGCCCAGTCAAGCTCATATGGGAGAAAGATCTTCTTAGAAGACCTCATCTCAGTTCCTTGCCATATGGAGAATCAGCAGTGTTGGAAAACATCAGTATACCTATACAAGCACCCACACCCCCATATGCACTGTTGTGTTTTTGTGTTTCTTAAAGAAAAATTCTTCCATTGGTGCCCACAGAAAGATAGGTAAATACATATTCCATCTCCTTCCAGCCCAGGCCAGAGTCATATTATAAACTCACAATAGCATAAGTCTAATGGCATGAATTTTTAGTGAACTGCTACAAGTTAAAAAGCAATTGTTTATGTTGTTGTGCGCCAATTCCCACAACTGCTGTGTCACAAGAAAAACAACCACCAAATTCTTAACTGCATGTAATGCACTGCTGAACGTTATTCCACTGGAGGAAAGCAGTAAGCATAAGAAAGAGGATTCCACTGAAATATAGAACATCTTTTTCCTGGTGGGCAGAGGACTGCAACATAAGGTTTTTGCAAAAGCAGCAGAGAGAAATATAGAAAGATAGAAAAAATTAAATCAAGATATATTGGGGGATGTCACCAGCACATACATAATTGATGTGAAATGGGAATATAGGCTTCCTTTATCAGTCTGATAGCATGTTGATTCATAGCTAAAAGGATAATGCCAATGGAGTTAAAATATTGGAAGAGGAAAAAAATACATATTTATTTGAACATTTATTTTCAGCCTGAATGTTTAATTCAATGTGCTTTAAGAATGTTTAGGCAGGGCTATAGGTGAGGATTTAAAAATAAAATTAAAAACATCTCAATTACTGTATAACTAACTCTCTTGAGCTTATACCAACTGCAGTGAGATATTAGAATCATTTCATTTTTCAAGATAGATTTATTGGTTTTGAGCATGTTGCCACTGCAGTTTTCACAAACACAAAAATAATTAGGTAAAGCTACAAATTAAAAAAATATTGTACATTCTGAATTAGGAAAGTGATCTTTAAACATTTATGAGATATAAACAACTGGCTAAGATGTGCTTTTTTGGCTGGGGTAAAAGTATATCATTCTTGCACTTGGTTAATGGATCTAGATTTAATGGAAAATATCAATTTCCAAGAACAGCAAATGTAAATTAAGACTTGCCACAAACATACCTGGATTGGTTCCTGCTGTTTAAAGACGGGACTAAGCTCAGGTAAAATTAGCTTTACATATTCTTCTTTGGTACACTCCTCCGCGATAAGCAGAACATTAGGCAATACAAAAGGTACCATATCTGGATTTACAAACTCGGATGTCAAGGAAGGCAAAATCCGCTGTACTATAACACGCTAAAAGAAAAAGACCTATTAGTTGGCACCTGAAGTTTTCTTTAAAAATGCTGACAATTATGCTGACTTTTCCCCAAAGATCAAAAAATAATAGTCTTTTAAAAATATACATATCAATTTGTTGAACATTTTTCAGCATGATAATAGTGTTTTATGAAGCACCAATTCATAGTTTAACTAGAAAAAAATCCACAGTCTAATAAAATAAACCAAGCTTGCCAACCTTGGGTAGTTTTGGTAAAACTTTTGGCAGCCCTTTGAAAAACTGGGACTTTTGCAGATTATCCCTTTGGAATAAAGAATCAAAGTACTGTAGTGTCACGGCGCCAACGTCACCAAAGAATGGTATCTAAACACAAACATAAAAATGGAAGTTATCCTTGAGGTTATGAACATGATATATCAAAATCTCTACAACATTTAAATAAAATTCATAAAATTGCATGAAACAAGCAAGTCTAATATCCGTATTGTACAATAATCAGAACAGCAGTTATGCTAAATGGATTTTTGCTTTTTGTATTTCCATAAATATGACCTATTTTCTAGTCAGCATCATATTACCATAGTCTAAAAAAAGTACTTTCTGAAAACAGTTTCAATAAATCACCAGGATCTTTCTTTTCAGAATAAAGCACATTTAATTTCTTATATCACAAACATCTGAATTTATACATTTCAAGACCAGAACACTGTTCAAACAAAAGTTCACATTTGAGCACTTATACACTAATTTGTTAATCAGAGCAGCTAAGACGGCTGTGCTTTATTTTCTACAGCTTTTCTAAATTAGCCCTTCTCTTTACTCACTTTAGTCATTTGGTCTGCATCTGGTCTGACTGCAGGTGCTACATTTAGCAGCAGCTTTACATGCTCACAGACTTCTTCTGGGATATTTTGAAGGTTATTGGCACCCAAACGACTAAGCTGCATAAATAAAATACAGATCACCATTTATATTAAAACAATATTCTGCATGGTAGAGTGTATATAATATAGACTGTACTCTGTTCTATATGGTAATGAATTTCTGCAAGTTCTGTGCCAAAAAAAACTGATTCTGCAATATGTATAAACAGATATTTGCTAAACAAGACACAAATAGATATACAAGCCCTCTTCAGTAGTTGCAAGTGTTGCAAAATCAGAAATCTGTGGATCACTCCTCTCATCTGAAGAGCAACCTTTTCTAGAACCAAGTATTCGCTGTCTACATAGGAATACCAGTGCTAATTTTTAAGCATTCTGGGTTGTGTGGATAACTTCAGTGGAGACTCTTGTTATCACAAACTTTCTCTTCATGCGAGAGTGATGGTGAAGCACAGGGCTAGCATATTGCCTTGCATTTCAATTCCTATTATACTTATAACACCTTAATAGGGCTATTCACAACTATATTATGTGGTGTGTTGGCATAGATATTTGCAAATAGAAACAGTACAAAGGCAACACAATGATGCAATGTAGTTCACCAGGATTCTAGCTGGCCAGCTATGCCCTTCTCCAGTTCACATCTTTCAATTCCCGTTTTGTGTTTTAAAAATGAATGCTCAGCTTTTTACAGTCACAGAGGCTGCTCATAGGACTATCCAAGAGGAATTCTCTCCTTTTCTTTTTCTAAAAATACTTTTTGTGCTTCTACAAAACTTGGGATCCTCCAAAGCTCATAAACATCCCATTCATGTCGCTTAGTGGCCCCATTTTTGTCTCTGTTTCTGTCAGTCCTCACCACTCAAGTCTGGTGTCCGACTGATGTTTGCTTATGTTGCACAACTGATCTGGCTTTGGCTCAAAGAGAGGGGAAGGGAAAAATCTCTGCACAACATAGGTTCCGAGAACCTATTTCAATTATTCTCTTCTTGGCTTTAGAAATTCCATGGAATTCAGCTTACTTTTCTATTTTCACATTGTCTACCTTTTCACATAGTGCCCCAAAACTGCAAGAGTGAGTTGCTCATAAAAGTTATGTGTTCTAAATTTGACATCCAATTTTTCAATGTACCTGATCCAACTGTCTGCTGAAACTTTTATAGATATCCTGCTTGTTAACCTCAAAAATAGGTTTTCCATTATTAAACACAGCATACATAATTGCTCCAAGAGAGTACATGTCACTAGCTGTTTCACAGCTCACTGAAAGGATGTATTCTGGGGCCAAATATTCTGGATTTGGAAGACATAAAGATGGCAAATTTGGATCCCATTCTTTACAAGAGAACTTTTGCTGTAAGAAAAAAAATAGTACAAAGGTTATTTAAAAAATTTAGGATAAGCAATGCAATCTTAACAATGAAAAGTATTAATACCTAAGGAGATTATAATAATGTTTTCTTTTTCTGCAGCTTAGAAACTACTGAGTTTAGCCATTCAGCACTAAAATTCTGAAGGAAGGATAAGAAGCAAGATGATCTTCATATATTGTGAATAATAAATAGCCTATTTCAAATGTTCTGTGCCATCAATTTGTTTTAAAACTATGGCAATCCAATTAGGGTTTCTGAACTATGTGAACTGTGCAAAGAATGAACTTGTGCTTGTCCTAAATCCTCTTAATGTTCCATTGCTATTCACACTCCACTGCAATTGAAACCTACACTCACAGGCAATTGTTATGTTACAATATTTGTGTATGTTAGACAACTAATACTAAAAGTTACATTAGTTACATTTCCAATATTTTCAGTCTATACTTCAATAAGGAAGAAAAATTAAACACCTTGTTACCTCTTGCTCAGAAGGATTTATAGACTGAATACAGAAGTCAAATCCCATAATCTTCCATGCTCCAGTTTTATTTAAAATTATATTTTCTGGAGTAAGGTTGCCATGGATCATTTTTACACTGCTATGAAGAAATGACAGACCTTCAGAAACCTGTTAGGAAGAAGACATTCTCGTTAGGGTATTCATTTTCTACCATTCTGAAGTTCTGTAAATTCTGCTTTGATGTTAGAATTTTTCTTCCTAGAACTGATTTCAGAAGAGCTGTTGCTACAGTAAGGAAGGAAAGATGAGGAGATTCAAGCCCAGATGAGGGAGAAGCCTATCTTCACCTTCTTCCTCCACCTCAGCAGCAATCTTCAAGTACAGGTATGACTTCTGCAAAAGCAGGATGCTTGATCTGGTTTTCCAGGAGGCACAGAGTACATGCAATCTTATTTGAATATTCCCATCTATGTAGTGACAACATCACCAGAAGACCTAGGCAGGCTAAGCCTGGAAACATCATCTGATATAAGGTGTGCAACCTGTCTTTATCCATGTCTTGCTCAGGAAATAGAAAATGAACTTGTACTCACTTTTCTTTTAGAACATACAGTAACGTGGGAAAGAGAAAATAACATTTTTAAATGGTGTCAAATGAGAGCCAATGAATTGAGAAACCAAAACTAATTTATCTTCCAACCAGGGAAGATAGCTAGAGACACTGTTCTTTTCTTTAAAGATTGACCTTATTTTACCAACAGGCAAGTGGTTATTGTACAAACCTACTGTAAGAGCACTGATTCTATTGCTCCATTGTTTAGACAAATCTTATAGTTTGAGGTGCCAGACTTATATTGGCGAATACTCAGATTTGAGAGCTATAAAATTGGGGAAAAAGGCATAATACTGCAGAAGTTCTGAAAGATGTCACACTTACAAATATTTTCATCTGTGTATTGGAAATTGTGTAATGGAAATTAATGCAGACTTAAGAATCTGAAGAAAAGAGAGATAGACAACCAGTGTATAACACCAAATGTATCATATCTTCTAAGGCTCCTAAGTATTGATGAAACTGTAAAAATCAGCAGTTACATACCTGAAGCAAACCATACTTCATTTCTACATCATAGAGTTTATATTCTTTGATATCAGATGGCAAAGGTGAGGGAAGGTTGTCCCAGCTTCCAAGAACATTAGCCAAACTTGCACATACTGGTTCTGTACAGAATGCTAAACAGTCCCTAGGAGGAAACAGGAGTTCAACTTACTGGGCCAATATCCTTAATTGCTATTTAAATAAACTACAGAGTAAGAGAAAGGGCATCCTAGGTGTCTTGTGGCACATTGGCAGCTTCAAAACATACGAAAAACATTATAATGTATGACATTGAGGGGCACCAAATATTACACTTCTTTATTACAATAACAGTATGCAATATATTGAACTGCATCGTGACAATCACATTTCAATTTTTGCAAGGGTCAACACGGCACTACAGCTGTAAGGGTCCACCAAAGCATACAGGAATGTCAGGAGAAAGGAAAAATCCCAAATTCAGATTTGGGATTTTTCTTTCCTGTGCTCTTGAATAAAAACTACGTTATTCTGGAGAAAACTGTCAAGTTTGCTATCAGATGAAATGAGGCAAATGCCTCAGAACTGCCAGGGTGGCAAACTCACAATACCTTACACATGGCTGCTTTGAGGAGGCTCTCTGGGCACCTCTCCAAAGTGCAAGACTTCCTAAATACTTGGCTCACAGAGATCCTTTGATCCAGACACTGTAAGAAGGATGCCTTGGAAGAATGATTACGCTCTGCTATGAGAGAGTGGCCTCTTTTTATTCTGCAGTACGTATGAGCAGTAATGCCACAATGGAAGAAGGAACAGAACTTTATCTCTGCTTCAGACTGTGGGACCCCCGAACGACCCCTGCTGGTGTCTTTCAGTGCTTCACAGGAAACAGATAAACTATGTTCTGTTTCCCTAAGACTGGGGCCTCCAAAGTGGCCACTATGCAAACATTCCTCATTGACTGACCTGCACCGATTTTAATGTTCCTCCTGATCAATGACAAAAATATAAAAATATTTTCCCCCTTTGAGTGTATATAACCCTCAAAGCCAAATGCTAGCCAATACTAAATAATGCCTCTGGCACCAAGTGTATCCTGAAGACATGATTAAAAAATAAAAATGTCAGACAACTACAGCCCAATGTTTCTTCATAAAGCATACATANCGGGGGGGGGGGGAAGGTAACCACAGAACTGTGAGAAATGATGTTTTGCACTTAAATTGTGTGTGTACTTTTCTGAACATCACCAGGTTGCCTTATGTCAACTGGGCATTTTGCTGTTTTCTCAGAATACATGATCTAGCACGTGAAACTCAGATTGAACTTCCACCATGCATTCAGTTTCTTAGATGTGTTACTCGTCCTTTATGATCAGGCAGGATATAAAGCGGCCATTTTGTGATTACTGTATGGTAGGTCGCACATCAACTTTAATTTTGGATGCCAATGACAGCTTCTCAAATTTTCAAATGCAGCTATAGGGCCCACTTTTTAGGGATCATTGATCTAAGGTTGCTATTAGGAAGTGAAACAAGCTTGAGAAATATTTGGAATATTAAATAAATATTCCAAATATCTTTCAAGCATGTAATATATTATTTGTCTTTCGAATTAAAAACTCAAAGCGTATGTACATACAGTAGTTTTCCAAAATTAATCAAAGTTAGATAAATTAATTATGAGAATATTTTGAAACTATACTTCTTCAGTGTCTACACAATCTATAATTAAGTAAGCAATACAGACATTTACCGTGATTCTTCTAGTGGATGTTGCACAGTAAGCAACCGGGGGTGTCGAAGTCTTGTTAACTGTTGAACTCCTCGTTTTAAGGCATCAATAATTTGATCCTTCTCAAATTTCTGATATTTGTCTATAAGCTTTTTATCAAATACAAATACTGCTACTTCCTAAGAATAAAGAATGATAACATAATTAGTAAAGCAAGAAACATAGTTACAGAACTAATGTAATATGTATTACTGTTTTAAAAAAACAAACAAACCACAATCTTCACAATGTCTTTCAATTTTTAAACAAGTTAGCCATCACAATACTAGCATTGCCACCCTGTATATATGTATCACAAAGGCTCTCTAAATGACAGATTAGAAAACCAGAGCCAAATGTCAAGGCAGAACATCCACCAGCTCAACTCTCTTCTATTCCTTTTGCACATCTGTTTTAGCACTTTAGTCCTGATTTGTTATGCCTGAAACACAGAATACTGCTTTAAATTTGGGTAAACTAACTACAGTAGGATCAAACTGGGTTTCTAAGATGCTTATCAGAAAACAGACATTAGATAAGATTTTCTCATTTCAACCAAAATAGGAAACTCCACTATTAAGAACATAAGGCCAATATGTTAAAGCCAATATATGAAGTAAGGAAGCAAGGGAAAGGTTACACAGGCATACAACTCTTACTCCTCAGTTCCTAAAAGATAAAAAACCAAGAGCTCGGGAGGCTTATGACACCTATTCAAAACTCATTTATGAATACAGAAAAGCATGCATATGTTGTGAGTGTGCGTGCACAACAGCAAGTATGGAGACACTGTTATCGAATACAAATATGATCACTGAGATCTGTTTCCCGTATCTGCCCAGAACTGCCACAGACGCTAGAAAATACAATTGTTGCTGTATATGTAATAAAATAATAAACAAATGCAAAAATCTGGGATAAAAATATACAGCAATTGCTTTACCTCTTGCAAGATACCAATTTTAGAGAGAAAGTATGAAGGAAGGAGTAAGCACCTTTTTCCCTTGCAAACTCTCCAAATCTTCTAGAGGAAGATTTACTTTACCATGTAAGAAAGGTGTCACAATACTATTATATATATATTAGCAATATATGAGACATGTAGTTTTCCCCCCCTTAAAGATTCAGTTTTACCAAGAAACTCAAGACTCTGCATAAACAATCCAGTTTGCTTAACTGGCATGGGATAGTCACATCAAGAAGCTGTCAAGCAAAACAGAATCAGATATTTTAAAAGCATTTCATTCTGAGTAGTAGTTCAGTAAAGAAACTGGCTGCAAAGTATCAATAACAAAATCAGTTAAATGGCTTTTTATTGAAAGAATGAGACAAGAGTAAAAAGATACACTTGCTATAGTTTTTAAACGTAACAGAGATGAACAGTAACCTTCTAATTACGAAAATGAATTAAACTGGCATTTATAAACAATATTAATCAAAATTATATCAGGTTATATCCATGTCTATCCACAAAATTTCCAGTTGGAAAACAATTATCCAGTACAGTGGTGCCTCTCTTAACGAGCGCCTTGGTTAACGACGAATCCGCACAGCGACGGATTTTTTGCAATCGCAAAAGCGATTGCATTGTGATATTTTTAATGGTAAAAATCGCTTTGTGATGATCAGTAAGCTGTTTCACTTACTGATTTTCGCATAGTGATGTTTTAAAAACAGCTGATCGGCGGTTCCAAAATGGCCAGCGGGAAAAAAATGGCCGCCCGTTGTTGTGTTTTTGCGCCGATTCCTCACATACCGGGCAGCAAAAATGGCAGCCGTATGGAGGATTTTCACTTAAAGATGAGTTTTAAGCCCATAGGAACGCATTAAATGGGGTTTAATGCATTCCTATGGGCTTTTTCTTTTCCCATACCGACGAATCCGGATAGCGACGATTTTTCCGGAATGGGCACTGCTGTAATAAGGATTTGTTTGTTTTTACGTTATTGTCGTTATGCGGGGCACCACTGTAATAAGAATTTGTTTGTTTTTACATTATGTTAATATGGTACTGTTCCACATACTAATTTGACAATAATTTACCATACAGAGACTAAATATTTATTATGGTTCTAACATCCTCTGAAAATACTACTAAGATACAAGCACAGTAAAAACAAAGTAGAATTAACTATTCTTTCCATGCATGGCACTTCTTCATTTCTGTAATGGAAGATGCTTCTTTCATACATTTTTAGACGAGTTTTGTTTCTACTACAGATCAGGCAGGATGAGGCAGACTAACTATGCACTGGCTGCCACAGGGTCAAGAGCAATGTAACACACCTGATCCTATTGTCAACCAACTGCAGACTCCATACCACAAGACTTTTATTAAAGAAAAAACAAGCACTAGACAAGAGTCTCTCACCATATGTCAGTCACAATGTTTCTGATTTAAGACACACCTATTTTAATCGCACATGAAAAAATACAAAAGCTTATGTCAAAAGCAATGACTTCACAATTTGTTAGTGAAATATCCTCATTTTCCTCCCATGAAATTCTGCACACAATTCCTTAGACACTATACAGGATTCCTTATTAACACCTACTAACCGGACCCATTTCAAACAAATTTTAATCAGAGTGCCTTTGGGTACATCAGTCATTATGGGCCACTACTTGGTGATTAAGAGAAGCAAAGCAAACACTGAAAGCTATGATAACCCTCATTTTTCAGAGACAAGCCTACACAAATAACAATCATAGAGGTTTCTCCTTCCATGTTACTACTAGCTTTACCTTCCTTGATGAGAAAATACAGATAGAGGGATTGTAGTTTAATCAATCAATCAATCAATCAATCAATCAATCAATCAATCAATCAATCAATCAATCAATCAATCAATCAATCAATCAATATGCCGCCCACACTACCCAAAGGTCTCTGGGCGGCTTACAACATTTAAAATACAATAAAAATTCAGAACAATTAAAATACAATTAAAATATATATAAAAATTGCCATCGGATCCACAGCTAATATTATTTCAATTAAAAGCCTTCTAGAACAGGAAGGTTTTGACCTGGCGCCAAAACGTCATCAGTGTCGGCGCCAGACAAATCTCAGTCGGGAGGACATTCCATAGTCTGGAGGCAGCTGCCAAAAAGGCCCTTTGTCTACAAGCCGTCCCTCTTACCTCCTTAAGGGACGGCTCTTTCAAAAGGGCCCCCTGGCTGGATCTTAACTGCCAGGTAGGTTCATATGGAAGGAGGCGGTCCTTCAGGTATCCAGGGCCCAAGCCGTTTAGGGATTTATATGTCAAAACAAGCATTTTGAATTGGGTCCGGGCAGCAACTGGTACCAATGTAACTTATACAGAATTGGCTTGATATGTTATGGCAGTAAATGGCTGGTAGATTCAGATGGGAGGATGGGGCCCTTCAGCTATTTGGTTCTAAGCCACTGAAGCCTTTTATAGGAAATAATCAATACCTTGACTTGGGCTTGGAAACAAAAAGAAAATATAGATTGCATGGCATCAGTGTAATATGTTTGAAAATGTTCTGATCCCTGAATTATGCCCTACCTGCACCTTCTGAACACTCTTCAAAAACAGCTCCATATACAACGTAGGTGACTAAGGCTTATGTTACTATGGCCAAACATCATCCTATCCATGACAATAAGAACAGCATTTCTTCAAAAAATGGCCTACTATAGGAAATCATCTCCTGACAGACAAACCCGTATGTCTCTATCCATGATATGCATCACAATATCCAAAAATACTACCCCAACAGGCTGACACTGAAGGTTCCTAGACAAATGGGAGTTCAGTTCAGTGGAAAAGGGAAAATATGGAGATCAATGTTTTATCCTTGATACTGATATCCAAGGGCTGGGCAGAGCTCAATGCTGTATTTCAAACTGCAGTGGGACAACCAAAGCAAATATTACATATATCAAAATTCTCCTTAAGGTAACAGTTGGTTAATTCATGACACAGATACTGTAATCCCATTCAACTACCAAAGTATTAACTATTTATCAGTTTTGTATGGAGATCAATGTTTTATCCTTGATACTGATATCCAAGGGCTGGGCAGAGCTCAATGCTGTATTTCAAACTGCAGTGGGACAACCAAAGCAAATATTACATATATCAAAATTCTCCTTAAGGTAACAGTTGGTTAATTCATGACACAGATACTGTAATCCCATTCAACTACCAAAGTATTAACTATTTATCAGTTTTGTCATCTCGGACCCAAACACAAATAGAGTTATCAAAGGCATGGTTAAGATTGCTATATTTCAAAAGCGTCTCTCTGAAAAAAAATTCATGTCTATTTTTCTATTATGTATTTATTTTTTTATTATTATACTTTTACCATACTTTCCCAGAAAAAACTTATATCTATTTAATTAAAATAAAATAATTAAAATAATCACGATAATAATAGTTTTAGAACATGAGCCACTAATCTCACAAACTAATGGGTGATTTACTCCAAAAATAAATACAGTTCCTATAAATGTAATATCAAGGCAAATGCACACAAAAACAGTTAAGTAGGAAGGATTTGAAATTAAGAACACGAACTTAAGAAATTAAAATGAAAAAAAAAACACTGTTTTTTACAACATTTAGTTCTTCTTGATTTTCTTACAATCTATTATACATCAAGGCATTTTAACAACCTAACTTGTATATGTATACTGTATATACATATATCTTACATGAATATAATACGTACATTGTGTCTACTTTTTCAGCAATTAATACACATACTCTTTAATAACTCTTTCATGAAACATACTACAAAAAGTTACAAACAATCTTACCTGTTTTGTTGATTTTTTAGTGCCATTAAATATCTTCCAAGCAAGCCCATTGCCACCACTAGCAATATGTCGGCCAACATCAAACTCTCGGGTGACAGGATTTCCCATAACTGCACTAGTGACATCTGCAGTCACTTTGGTAACAGTGCTCTTCAATTTGTTTAGCATGGACTCCATTATTATGACGGTACTCTGCCTACAACAAAAAGAATTCTCAGAATCTAGCTTGAAATTTTTCCTAAACAGAAAATAAACATTACATATTTACACAGTCTACTTCATTATTTTATGCTTCCTCATCGGATATATTCAGTGTAAATAATTAATACAGTAGTGCCCCGCATAGCGGCGATAATCCGTTCCGGAAAAAATTGTCGCTATGTGGATTCGTCGCTATACAGAACAAAAAAGCCCATAGGAATGCATTAAAACACGTTTAATACGTTCCTATGGGCTGTAAACTCACCGCTATGCGAAAATCCTCCATACCATTTTTGCTGCCCGGTAAGCGAGGAATGGGCGCAAAAACACAGCGGGCGGCCATTTAAATTACCCGCCGGCCATTTTGGAACCAATGATTAGCTGTTCCAAAAACATCGCTATGTGAAAATCGGTAAGTGAAACAGCTTACCGATCATTGCAAAGCGATTTTTACTACCTAAATCATCGCTATGCGGATTCGTTAAACAGGGCGCCCGTTATGCGGGACACCACTGTACTTAAGTTACACCTAACACTTAAATATGCATCTAAGTACCAAATGATAGAAAGGTGCATTTCAAAATTAGTTTTTTCTCTCTCTGAAGCTGATGTCACAGGAAATAAAAATTAAATCATCAGCTGTTGCAAGAGAAGAAAGGCATGTCTCTTGTAAAAACAGGCCAGACCAACCACAAGACTAAGCAATCTACATTAAGGCAGAAGTGAAAAGTCGAGCTCAAAAGACTGCAGAAATTCATTTGACCACTGGAATAAGAACCTCCTTTGATTGCAAGTTAGACTCTAGGATCCAGATTTGTAGCACAAATTTGACAAAAGCTCACAAATTGATCTACAAGATGAGTTACTGAACTCTGTTAAAATGTGCTACATAATATCTTTAATTGCCATACCTTTAGAATAGGCGTCTCCAAACTTTTCAGCATGAGGGCCATATCACATATTTTACACATTTTTGAGGGGCGAAGGAAAGCACACACACATGCACAGGCTGAAGGGAACAGATCTGAGCCTGCGGCATTTGCCAGGCCAGATAAAAAGGCAAAGTAGGCCAGATGTGGCCTGTAGGCCACAGTTTGGAGACCCCTGCTTTAGAAGAACAAATTGATAATTAATTAATTAAAATATGCTGAAATATTCTCAGATGTTTAAATAAATGGCGTTGGCTCCAAAATTTTCTTCCCACAAACAAAAGAACATTTTATATTCCCACTAGGCTTTTGATAAAGTGAAGAAATCCTGCAAGTAGAATGAAGGATACGGCATTTTAAATTCCTTCTTCTGCAGCCTCCCCCTGTTCTAGAAGGCTGTGGAAATCTCTGGAAGGCAGTGTTGCAGGTAGAAAAGGTGAAATTGAATCCTCACTTTCCTTAAAAAGGAGAGTTCAAAGGGGCACCTGGTCAACAGATGCTAGTGCCAGCAAAAATCAACTCTAGATACAGTCCAAAGTGTCTATTCTGGTATAGCTAACTACTTGTTAGTCCCAAATAGAATAGGTCCACTGAATAAAATGCTAAATGGTACATCAATGCTTAGGTTAATCTCACTGATATAATGGCTGAAATCTAGTCAAAGGCACAACTAGAGTAGGCCCACTGAATCCATGGGGATTTACCAAGTCAACTCTTCAAATGAACTGATTCAATGGACCTACTCTAGCTGTAACTTACTACGAGTTTTCAGCCAATGGATCTACTCTAGCTGATATTAGCAACTGCATTTCAACTTAATATGAAGAAACAGACCCAAGACTCTTCCTTGCTATGCAAATATAGAGGGATACATTTGCACAAAATATGTAAGGAACAAAATGAAGCTGAACTATAAAAAACTACATTTTTAAAAAAAAATCAATCAGTTCATCAATATGTCAAATAATTGCTTGATTTTCTGAATTCTGCTTCCACATGTTTGGGGAAGGCTAATGGTACAATCTCAGTGGACTCTAAAATGAATACTTAGCTCGTAGAAAGATATTCACATAATGTAGTTCTGAGGAAACTATGTTGGAAATTGGAAGCAGAGCTATACAGTATATCAGGTTTGGAAGCTAAGTATCTGTTCATCTAATTATGTACCATATAGATTGGAGAGATGAATATTATAAAGCGTTGTTGGGTTGGTTCTTTTGAGTCATTCTATTTAAATAAAAAAGAAGAGTAACAAGTGCCTAAATTATTCATCAAGGGCTGGAGAAATACCTACAAGTCTCAGCTACAGGTGGTTTTTATAGCATATCATTAAAAAGGAGACTGTAAATAAAATAGCCAACATTGTAATGCCATTGTACACAATGCTAGTAAGGCTGCACCTGGAGTATTGTGTACAGTTCTGGTCGCCGCGCCCCAAAAAAGACATAGTGGAAATGGAAAAGATGCAGAAGAGAGCAACTAAAATGATGCTGCTTGGGCACCTCCCTTATGAGGAGAGGCTACAGTGTTTGGGGTTCTTTAGAGAAAAGGCACTTGAGGGGGGACATGACTGAAACATATACAGTGGTGCCCCGCTTGATGATGACCCCGCTTGACGACAAAATTGCTTGATGATGAGTTTTTTGTGATCGCTATTGCAATCGCAAAACGATGGTTCCAATGGGTTTTTTTCGCATTACGTTGATTAGGAGCCTGCTTCGCAAACCATTTGTTCAATAAACAATGATTTTTCTGGTTCCGCAAAATGGCCGCTTTCCGGATCCCTGCTTCGGAAGACAGCGATTTTAAACAGCTTATCGGCAATTTTCTATGGGCGATCTTCACTGGACGATGAGGTATTTCCCCACTGGAATGCATGAACCGGTTTTCAATGCATTTCAATGGGGTTTTTTTGCTTGACGACGATTTCGCTTAACAGCGATTTTCCTGGAACGGATTATCGTCATCAGGCAGGGCACCACAGTACAATTCTGCAGGGGATGGATAAAGTGGCTAGAGGGAAACTCTTTTCCATCTCATGCAATACCAGAACCAGGAGACAGCCACTCAAATTGAATATTTGGAGAGTGAGAACAGAAAAAAGAAACTATTTCTTTACCCAGTGTGTTGCTAATCTGTGGAACTCCTTGCCACGGGATGTGGAGAGGGCATCCTTGAGACTTATAAAATTATGTAGTGGATGGAGGGAAGCTCTTTTCCCTGTCATGCAATATCAGTACTGGGGGACATCCACTCAAATGAAGTGTTGGGAGAGTGAGAACAGACAAAAGAAAATATTTCTTGACCCAGCATGTTGTTAGTCTGCGGAACTCCTTGCCACAGGATGTGGCAAGGTCCAGATGCCTTTAAAAGGGGTTTGGACAGATTCCTGGAGGAAAAGTCCATTGCAGGTTACAAGCCATGATGGAGATGTATAACCCCCAGGCTTAAAAGAAAGATACTTCAAAATGCCAGATGTGGGGAGTGGTATCAGGAGACAGGTATCTAGTTGTCTTATGCCTCCCAGAGGCATCTGGTGGGGCCACTGTGAGATACAGGAAGCTGGACTAGATGGGCCCTGGCCTGATCCAGCACGTCTCTTCTTATATTTCCAATCTGTTGATATTTTGTTAAGTTACAGGATCCATTACCTCCTTCCAATTCTACCAGTCTAATATTGTGCTAACATTGTAACGTTTTGATTCTTCAACCTAAAATAAATGATAGAATCTCCATCTATCAACTCTGCTTTCTCTGAAAGGCCACTTGCTAACAGATAATTCCTACAACATTTCTTAAGAAAAAAGTTGGTTCTTCAGCAGAGACTGCACAAATTCATCACTAATGCTAAACTTAATCCATCACACGCATACAAAACATCCGGTCCACATCTACCTATTTCTTTTTGTACGCTTGGTAGAATCCTGCAGCCAGGCATAACATTCTGTATTTACTGAAGTACAGTCGTACCTCAACTTACAAACGTCCCTACTTATAACCATTTCGAGTTACGACCAACTCCAGACACAAAATTATGCTTCTACTTGCGACCAGAGCTTCCACTTACAAACAGAAAAAGGCAGGAAATTCAAATTTCTAACTGTAGGTGGCGACAACGCTGCTTCTTTGTAGCTCTTTCACCCCAGCAGTTAGAGAGTGTGCATCGTAGGAGGCTTGGGACGGCCTCCTTCTGCTTCTGAGTGTGTGTGTGTGTGTGTGTGTGTTTGCAGGGATGCTTCGGCTTGGGACGGCCTCCTTCTGCTTCTGAGATAGAGTGTGTGTGTGTGTTTGCAGCGATGCTTCAGGCTGTCTGGTAAAGTAAGGTGCTGTTTTCTGCTTTTTAAAAACTGTTCTGAGTGTTTTTGCACCATGGTTTTGAGCTGAAGGGGTTATGTTTCTGTGCTGTGATGGGCCTTGGGGGGTTTGTTTGTTGGCTTCCCCCCCCCATTTCCGATGGGTTTTGGAGGTTTTGTCGCTTTTTGGGGTTTTTCCCCCATTTCCCATGGGTTTTGGGGGGATGGTTTTTTTTGCTTCCCCCCATTTCTGATGGGTCTTGGGAGGGCTGGTTGCTTTGGGGTTTTTTTCCCCCCGTTTTCAATGGGTCCTGCATGCTTCCCTTGCTTTTTCCTTTCTTTTTTTTGCATTTCCAACCTTGCATGCTTGATTGCTTTTCTTTCTCCGCTTCAGCTGGAAGGGATTAATCGCGTTTCCAATGAGTCTTGCAGTGATATTTTTTTTGTGATTTTTTTCCTTCGGCCGTAACAGATTAATTGCATTTCAATGCATTCTTATGGGAAATGATGCCTCGACTTAGGACCATTTCAAGTTATGTCCATCTTCTGGAACTGATTAATAGTCGTAACTCAAGTTACGACTGTATATGCATGTTGAAATAAACATTTGATTCAGTTAGATCAGGGATGGTGAACCGATAGCAAGAATGCCATAGGTGGCACGTGGAGATGTCTCCCTTGGCACGCAAGCAGAGCACAACCCCCCACTACCCCCCCCACAGCGGAACCTCAAACTGCACCATCGTTAGCTACCTCTTCCTGCTATTTTCCTT